TTGATGCGCGCCGGCGTCATGACCACAAACGCTGGCGCACTGCAGTGCCTAGTTGCCAGCGACGTCGTTTTTGTGGAGGCGGCCCGGTCGCTGCGTGGCGGCGAGGAGCGTGTGCCTGTGCCGCAGCGGTGGGCGTGCGTTGCTCTCTTCTACGTGGCGTGCGTGCTGCTATTCGTGCTGAACATGGAAGACCACGTACAGGTGTCTACCGCTGGGGTTGTCTGCGGTCTCGCGAGCTCTGTGCTGCTCTCAGGTGCGCTGTTGACAGCTGAAAAGGTGGTGCGACTGTCCCACTCCTTTGCGGTGCTCAATTTACTGTTTGCGCTGAGCCACGCTGTATTCTCATTGTTTGTTGCTTTGTGTGTTTTTCAGACGCATGTGCTCCTTATTTACCGGAGCTGCCAAGAGCTCTTCCCCTCCCTTCTGTCTCTTGCGGCTCTGCAGGGGCTTCGGTGCGTTGTATTCGGTGTCTTTTTGTGGTGGCATGGGGCTGTACCAGTTGTGTACCTCGCGACATGTTCCACGGCACTGTATGTGTCCGAGAGCTCTGCATCGCCTCGTTGCTCGTTGGCCCTTGTGGCTGCTATGCTGGCCATGGCGTTTTGGCGTAACAGAGTGCTAGTCGATAACACGACTTAGTGCTTTTTTTTTGTTTTGACCGCACTCTCGTCTTCTGTTTGCTTGTGTTTCTTCATGGTTTTTCTTGGAAGAAAACAAAACCGCGCGCCCCATCACCTCCTTCACAACGCTGTTTTCTACTGAGTGTGTGCCAATCTGTTTTTGTCCCGAAACGACTTGAAGTGCCCCTCTTTCCATCTTGCTCTCTCTGTTGTCTTGAACGCATTGTGTGCGAGCGCTGTCTGTTCGAATCGCGCCGCGGAGGGTATTCGTGGGGATGCTGGTGGGGGTGCGTGAGTACCGGCGGGAGGAGATGCAGCGCATTTGCGGGCTGCCGGGCGAGGCGCTTGCCTCACACTACACGCTCCTCCGTGGCCGGAACGAGGCGACCCTGACGGATGTAACGGACACGCGGGCGCGAAAAGTCATTCATTTTGACTACTACGCGACTGCAGCGCGGAGTCTGTTTGCAGAGGCCGTGGGGCCCATCATGCATGCTGTGCTGCCGCCCGTTTCGTCACCGCAAGTTGTCGTCGTCGTCGACGGGACGGAGATAACACGCTTCCACACTTTGCTCGACGAAGAAGAGGGTCTCTTGGCACAGTGCTGGAGTCTGATGATGACAGAAGAAGACTTCGAGCACGTGCTCGACACGATCTACGTCGCTATGGTCGAGTTGGACGACAACAACCACCTGCGGGACATTGCGGAGGCGGCGGCTGTGGGAGAGCCGACCATAATTGAGGATGCCGACGATCATTTTACGTCTGTTGAGGATGTGTCGTACACAGCCCTCAGGGGTGAGCCGGATCTGCGGGCGTTGCTGCAGCACGCGCAACGTGCCACGTCAGCTGGGCGGCACCAGATATTCAGCTTCATCCTTGTTTACAAGGCGGCGACGGGGCTTCCGAACTCCACCATCCAGTTCGTGTCGCTCGCGGTGTCTGAGCTGGCGCGGGGAATGCGGTCGACACGGCACTGCATTACGACAGCGGCGTCGCTCATTGAGAGCCGTTCGCCCTCGATCACTTTTGCAGGGACGAAGCTGTCGTATCTGCTGAAGCCGGCGCTCCTTGGCAAACAACCGGGATTGTGGATTTCGTGCTTTGCGCCGACAAGCCCGTCGAATGTGAAACAACGGGAGACGTTTAAGGAGTCCTTCTGCATCGCGTACACGTCGTGTCGTGTGTATGGTTCGCGTGTTGCTGTGGACATTAGCGATGCCTCTCAACTTGCCAACGGGTCAGAGCGGCGACACCTCTTCAATAGCAGTGACGAATGCGTGGAGATGCACCCGCGCACCGATGTCCCGCAGCCGAGCGCTTCTGCCTTGTTGAGAAAACCGAAGCGGCACGCAACGCATGGCACGCCCTTACCCTCATCTACGTCGCCCATCGCCGCTGTCAAAACTAACGCATCACGGCGGCGCACAAATGGACCCAGTTGTGGGGAAGCTTCAGCTCTCTCTCCCTTGGCCACGGCGAGAGACACAATGGCTGGTCTCCTCATCACTCCCTCTGGCCGTAGGACGGACTACATTGACGACAGGTCACGCACGGAGAGTCGTGCACGTGACTCGAGCACTGCGCGACGGCAGTCAAGCCGCCCCCTGTACAGCCGGTGCAGCTCGCTGGAGAAGCATCCGTACAACTGCAGTGCTCGTTATGAGTTAGAGACGTACAAACGGGTTATGGAGCCCGCGATGGATCAACTGCGTCGAGATATCCAACACTATGCGACGCAGCTCGAAGAGGCTAGGCGCCAGATCCGGCGCGCTAAACGGGGGAAGAGTGCCGAGATAGAGACTGAGCAGTTGCGGGCCAGTCTCGCCGGAGCCATACAACAGCGTGAGTCGTTGGAAGAAGATTTTGTTAGGCGAGAAAAGGACCTCCACGCAGAGGTGAGAAGGCTTCAGGATTGGTGCAATGACCTCACACGTGAGTTGCAGCTTCGTGCGGCAACTACTGTCCAAAAGAATGAAGAGGGGCAGAAGCAGCAGCGGCAGCGGCAGAGCGTTGCTGTTCAGACACCTGGGTCGTTTCTCCCAGTGCCACCGAACCCACCGCCCACAGCGGAGGACCTGGTAGCGTCCCACGCGCGTCCAGAGCAGCTGCAATCGCGGACAGAGTCGGCGGACGTACATCGTGCTTCTCAGTGGATAGAGGTTATCGACTACCACCAGCAGGAGCTGGAGGGGCACGCGGAGCGTGAGCGTGCTTACCGTGATCGCATCATGCGGTTAGAAGAGGTCCTCAGTGAACGTGACGCTGAGATCACGCAGGCGAGGACGGAGCTTGCACGGCGTGAGCAGGAACTCTCACTAGAGACGGTGAAGAACCAGCAGAAGGAGCACGAGCGAGAACTGGAGCGGGGCTTCACTGAGGTAATGGAGCGCCTTCGTGTGGAAGTGAAGGAGGCTCAAATGGCAAACGCCAAATCGGAACACCGTCTCGAGACGTGTCTTAACGACTTGCAACAGGAGCGAAAGCGGCGTGAGGCCACCGAGGCGGAGCTTCATATTCTCCAAACGACATATTCCCAACGCATGAATGGCGACGCAGCGAAGGAGATGGTGCAACTTTTGAAGGAAAGCTATGAACGCCAATATCACCAGCTACAACGAGAGGTGGAGGAGCTGCGATCCCAGAAATCGCAACAAGCTGCCTCGAAGGAAGCGACTCCTGTAGGCAACGCCTCGAGTGCCTCGACGCCAAGACACAACTCACGTGGACGCCATTCTGCCGGCATGCTCTCTCCAGCTGTCGAGACACGGGAAGACGTCGTTGTCCCTGTACGCTTTCCGCTGCAGATCGATGATCCCAGCCCCAGCGACAAGACATCCACACAGCTGCAGGTGGTTGCGGCGGTGGGCGATGCGCAGCGATTCGAGGACTTTATGAAGGAGGAGCCATCATACACCTTTCGCATACCAAAGGCACTAGAGCGGATTCGTTCTTGAGGCCAGTTTTGGTTGTGTGCGTTGTAGGGGGGAGGGCAGGGGTTGATATTGAGATGCAGTTTAGATGGAGACGACGTGGGGAGCGTCTTTCTTTGTTGGTTTGTTTTTGTGTCTGTGAGGAGGTGCGGGAGGCGGTGCGCAACAGTTCGAGCGCGCCACTGTCGCTTTCATTGCGCACGCGTGTACTTTACCGTGGCGTGCCAATGTGAGTGTTTCCCAGCATCCCGTATCAGGCTTCTCGCGCTTCTGCGTCTGTGTGTGCATGTGTACATGTGCATGATCTGCTGTTATTTTATTTTTTTTGGTCGCTTTTATTCTTTTTTTTTTTTTTGGTTGGCAACGCCCACTACTTCTTCTGTCTTTTTTTGTTATCATTCCCAGAGCAATGAAGCGTCGCCGCTATGACAGCGACGATGATGACAGTGATGACTTCGTTGAAGGGCCGCTACTCCCGTACGCTTTCGATGGGAGGGGCGACGTGATGATGGCGATGGGTGTGGCCGCGGAGGAGTCTGAGGACCAAAGCAGCGACGCAGACAACGCTGTGGGTGCTGCTGCTGGCGCAATCCAGCAGCAGAAGCCGCAGGCCATAGAGCCAAGGCTTTCGCCCTCTGTGGCGGTGTCGCAGTTGCAGCAGATGGCGTTTCGCGCAGACCAGGACGTCCCAGACCATTGGAAGAATCTGATGTCGGAGGATTTGCTCCAAGTGTACTATACCACGCTGAGCTACGCGGAGTCGAAGAGGTCGGTGGACGACAAGCTCCTCTCTCAGTACGTTCCGTACGATGAGGAACGGTTCCCCCCACTTAACTCTCCGGGGGAACGAGTGTGGGTAAATGCGTTTGGTGTCGAGTCCGGTTGGCGGTGGGACGGTGTAGTTCGTGGCGTTGGTACCTTGTAATGCTACTTCTCTATTCTTCCCTGCATATCGGGTGCTGACTCAGCGGCGTGCGTTTGCCTTTTTGTGACCTTTCAAAAATTATTCCCGTGCCGAAAGGAGACCCAAATTCCTTTGTGTTTTACTTCTGTCGTTGCCTTTCGGAGACAGAGTCTTAGATAGCTGTGGATGTGATGAGTGTTTGCATGTTTTCCCGGTCAGACGAAAACCGCATGAAGGAGTTACAGGAACGTGCGGAGAGGGGTGAGGAACTTTCCATCGTGGAAAGCGATGAGCTCGCCCAGCTCAAGAAGCAATACCACGACTTTCTAGCTGACGGGATGGGGCGGCTGCAGGCGGGCGGTGGGCTCGATGACAAGGGGCAGCAACCCCATACCGATGACTTTGTTGCCGCAATTGACAATGTGCGCCAATCGGTTGCGGTGGTAGGGAAGGCGGCATATTTTTGGGGCTCATTGTTTGCCACAGTGGTGCCAGGCTACTTTGGTCGCAAATTGGGCGTGACAACGGGTTTCCTGCATTGGAGCTTCATAACTGATCGCCTCATCCTTGGCGCTCTCCCTGTCGTCACACAAGTAGGGAGTAGTGGAAACCACTTGGCACAGTTACGTGAACAGTTGAAATCCCGCAACCAGCAGCTGGGCCTTGTCATTGCTTGTCTCGAAGACATTGAGATTCAGGGTTTTGGTGTTGAGATTGTCCGTTTTGCTGATGAACCTTGCTGGCATCACCACATGGGTTCTACAGTGGCGTACATATCTTTGCCGATCGTGGACACCACGGCCGAGATTTCTTTTGAAGATGTGGCTAATACCGTGAAGGAAATGGACCTCTGTATTTCGCAACGGCAGTGTGCTGTCTATGTGCATTGTAAGGCCGGAAAGGGTCGCAGTTGGATGTTAGTTATGTGCTACTTGACAACCTACGGGAAAATGACGTTCGGCCAGGCTGAGACACTAATTCGTGACATGCGCCCGCAGATCAATCCATCACCGTCGCAGCAAGCGTTTGCTTCCCAATTTGCCTCTCGCTTCCACATGGCACAAGAGTGATGCCTGAGATTATATATATATATATATATACAATCTGTTGAAGAGGGTGGAGGGGAGGGGCCAGTTTTCTTAATGGAGGGACACACTCTGTGCGCGGGATATGTGCTATGCAGTACTTCTACCCCTCCTTTGTGGTGTTTTTTTTTCGGAGGCGGGGGGGCTGGCTTGGTGCGTCATTTCTAATGCGTTGCAGGAACGAAACAAGAAAGTCGAAATTTTTTTTTGCAAGTGAAAAGAAAGTGAAGTCATTAGTGGAGTTGTTATCGGTGCTGGAGATGGTTGGCAGGTTGCGTTGCTGCTGTGCTCTCTTCGGTGGTAACTGCTGTCGTAGTCTCTCATTCTTTCTTTTTGACTTCCCTCTTGGTGCCTCCTTGGTTAAGGTAAACGAGTATGTCACTTGGGGAGACCAGCGACGCGATCGCCGCGTTGGCGGAGGGTTGCAGCTTGGAGCAGCTGGCGGACCTTGCGCTGCAGTGCGAGTCCCACCTAGCAAGCGTTGAGACGATCATTGATGCCGTGGAGAACGCGGTTCGTACGGCGCAGGGATCGCAACGGCTTGTGCTGTGGTATTTCATTGATCGACTGGCGAAGCAACACGCAATCTTCCTCGATGCACTTCGCCCGCGGTTGCGAGGTCTCGCCACAACCGTGGCCCCAGCGGCTGGAACTCCTGAGTGGAACGACTTCAAGAATCTTCTCAAGTCATCGATTGCGGTGGTGTTCGGCGCTCCACTCGTGTCACTCATCCTGCTGGAGATCGACCCCGACACGCAGAAAGAAACGGCCCGCACTGCCACCGCCGCGGAGCGGAGCCAAGGCGCCTTAACACTTCACAGCAACGCTCTAAGAACGGCTGGCGCGTTCTCCACAAAGGCTATCAAGACGGAGCGTCCAGCGGGGGCAAAGCACACGCTGCAGGTGAAGACCATGGACAGCCAGATGGCAATGAACATGGCAAGCAGCTACGCACCAGCACGACCACAGGAGGTTGCGGTGCCAGAGATACAGCCGGATGCCGACGCGCCACACGGGTACGTGAAGGCATTACCCGCTGATTACATGAAGAACTACGAAAATACACGACGCAAGAGGCTCCGCGAGGTGATGGAGCGAAACAGGGAGGAGATGGACCGCCGACAGGAGGATGAGTTCCTGAAGCGTGTACGTGGAACCACGAGTCATAAGGGGCAAGTGCCAGATTTTTCCGATGTGGTGATGCCATTGGAACTACCGCGCGACGAGTACGGTGTGAAACGAGGCTTCTTCCCACTTGGTGTGCGGTTCATCCGCGAGGCAATCCGGGGCTGTGGTGGTGCGGTGGAGCTGGATGTTCTGGTTAATCGTCTCTCCACGCTGGCGAGCAAAGAGGCTGTGGCGGAGTTTGGGGATGTGCGTGAGTTCCTCCTTATCCACCGCCCCACCTTTCGCATCACCAACGAAAAAGACCGCTGGATTGTGCGGCTTGCTGGCGACAACGGATCCGACCCGACTTGGGAGTCAATGCAATGCCCGTTTTGCTCTAAAGTGGTGCGTGGGCGGAACCTTGCACGTCACATGGGCTGTAGGCTCTGTGTTACGACGCAGATCGCTCTCGGGCTTCATGGAGAAATACACGGACCCATCTCTGAGCTTGCCTTTGTTGCCAAGTTTATCATTGATCATGCAGACGCGTACGATGACTGGGACTTGGAATGCTTTGCGGACTGCGTGCAGCGGGCTGCAGACTGCAGGCGCTTCAAATTGTCCTCGCAGGCAAAGTTTGCCCCAATCTTGAAGGCAATGCGTGTCGTGCGCAACCGCTGGTTGGCGCGCAAAGGTGTGTCGGAGGTGGCTGACGCCGTCATCGATCCTGGCGATGCGGCCGTGGCGAATCTCTTTCGCACCATTGGGCGGAACGTGAATCGCCTGCCAATTCCGTGGATTGACATGGGGGATGTGATTGATATGTGCCGCCGCTTCTCTGACAGTGTGCTGCCGCCTTTTAACCCACCACCCCGGCCCGCCGACCCTCGCACCAGCCTACATAACGAGTACCCGGGCTTTCTTCTTTGCGAGAGCGAGGTGGATGATGAGGATGAGCCTAGCGACAATGAGGACGCGTTCTCTGACGACGAAGCGCCAACCTTTGTATTTGCGCCGCCTGTTGAACTAGCTGAAACACTCTTTACGGCCGGATTTGAACGGGATACCAAACGACTGCAACATCGCATGAGGACTGCGCCACCGTTGGTGCTCCAGCGAGTACTGAAAGGTGATCGTTCACAAACACAACGTGAAATGTACGCCGAAGCAAGAAACGGGAGTAACTCGGCTCTGCCATCTTGACGGTTTAGGCGTGTAACAAACTGATGAGAGTTCCTCCAAGTTCGGTTCTCTTCTTGTTTTCTTTGAAATTATCACTGACATATTGCCAGCTACTCTTTATGTAGTTATCGCTGTCTTGATGATAGGGTGTGTATGGATATTCCTCTTCCCTCTCCCTCTCCTCCCTCGTGCTCTTTCTCCTCTTATTTTCACCAGGTTGGCAGGGCGGGTAGGACTTGAGCAGTCACTAAGGGAATGGATAGTGATGATGCCAAAGAGATCATCGCTGGATCAATTGGCGGTGCTGTAGCCACTGTGGTGGAATATCCATTAGATACCATCAAGGTTAGGATGCAGGATGATCCCAGACGATATCGTGGTAGTATTAGTTGCATCACTGAAATAGCACGAGAGGAAGGGTTGATCGGCGGATTTTTTAAAGGGTTACCCGCACCCGTCATTGGCGCCGCTGTCGAGAATGCAACGCTGTTTTGCACATACCGTGTGACTATTGGCAGCATCCAGGATCTTCTCTTCAAGAGGCGCTTTGAACCCGACACTGAGCCATATTCGGTGGTTTTTTTGGCTGCAGCTTTTGGTGGCATCGTTGTGTCGCACGCACTCACTCCTGCAGAACTTATTAAGTGTAAGATGCAGGTGCAGAACACTTTCCCTGAAGAAAGACGCCTCTATAGTAACTCACTTCATTGTGCCTCGTCTATTTATCGAAAGTCCGGCCTGCGTGGGCTTTACAAGGGGCATGTTTCGATGCTTGTGCGTGAGGCCATTGGCTGCGGGTTGTACTTCTTGACGTTTGAGTGGGTAATTCGAAATATGTTGCGTGATGGACAGAGCTTCAGTGAGGCGTCTTCACTAGTGCACTTTTTGGGTGGGGGTTGCGCCGGTGTCGTCTTCTGGACATCCATTTACCCAGTTGATGCACTTAAGACGAAGGTGCAGACTGGCAAAGGGATATACGGCGAGCTGTCCTTCCTTCGTGGTATGGCACAGTTGTACAAGCGAGAGGGGTTTCGTGGCTTCATGCGTGGCTACCCTGTCACTGCAGCCCGCGCCTTTCCTGGAAATGCGGTCTTGATAGCTGTGTATGAACAGGTGAACTTCCTCTGGGAGACAACGCATCGGTCGAGATGTGCTTCACTGTGCTCTGCGTCGTGCGTCGGTAGCACATAGTTTAACATCCCAAACTATGAGAGATTACATCATTTGCTGCATACGCGTATATATATATATATGCATATATTTCTTTATTCAATTGCAATTAAGTAAGCAAAATGGGAAAGTCTCCATTGAAGCCGAACCGCTTCATACACACATACAGAGGGGCGGAAAGGTGTTTAAAGGGAAATGGTTCCCTGCTGGTAGCAGACGATTAATTGGTTGCCACACCTCTTGAAGCGTCCGTGTCGCGGTTGCCGCCACCAGTGGGGTGTGTTGACTGCTATAAGCGTATGAGCTACTGCGATGTGCTTTGTGACGTTTTAAAGATATATGTTCATTATGGATCTTGCCGTTAACTGTGTTTCTGTGCCTTTCTTTGTTTCGTTTTCCTTTTTTCTGTGCGCCAGGAAATGGGAGTTCAAAAAAAGTTTGAAATATCCGCCAAGGAGTTGGGCCGTGGGGATCCGCTTTTCTCGTGGAACCCGAGCAGCTCGCAACTCGCGGTCTACAGTTCAAGCGGGAGGGTGCGGATCCTATCTACAGATGGAAAGACACTGAACACGTTCTCCCTACCTGGGGTTGTGAAACTCTCCTGGGATCTAACGCGCGGTACTCTCGCGCTTATTCAGGAGAGCAGCAGCAACATATCTTTACTTCCAGACGGGAAAAAAGGCCTAGACACTGTTGACTCTGGTCTGCAGGAGCTGTGCTTTCTGGCCTGGTCTCCTGTGGGGTCGCAGCTCGCAGTCGGGAGCGCCATGGGCGCCTTTGTCGTGTTAAACAGTGAGACGCTAAAAAAGGCACCTATCGTAGGAACACACACCAAAAAAATCATTGATGGTCAGTGGACAGGAAACAATCAACTTGTCATGTTGGGGGAGGACAATGTGATGTCTGTGTCTGATGCAGATGGTACCCTCCAGCAGCAGGTGTCTCTAAAATCAACACCGCTCTCACTTGCATTGGCAGAACTTACAGCAGGCGACGCAAACACCTTGTCAACCAAGACTGTTGCGCTGGTGAATCTTGGTGGGACACTCGAGCATTACAATTTGGAAACACTCAAACCTCAGGTGGTGCCGTTTGACGCCAAGCTTGGTACTGTGACGTTGTGCAGGTGTATTTCTGACGGAGTAACATGTGTAGGCTTCAACTCTGGAGCGATCGCACTGCTCTCAGTCTCTAGAGACGGTTCCAAGGTGTACGGTGTGGCACGTCCTTTTAAAGACGCAGTGCGTGACTTGACCTACAGTAAGGGGTCGGGTCTCTGTGCGGCGGTCGGCGATTACTCTCTCAGGTTCTTCTCCCTCGCCGATAAGAGAATGACGGAAATCAAAGCCGATGCGGTGGAAGTGGAAGGTGCATTGGGCACAATGCGCGCAGTGCAATGGAGCAAAGACGGGTCAAATGTCACTGTATCGACAGATAAGGGGCAGTTGATCAGTTACAATTTGAACGTATCAGCTGTGAGTACTACAAATGGAATGTACATCTTCTTTTTGACTTCCGCGCGAACAATTTCGGCAAAGAACCTGCAGGACGGCCGCATGTTGTACACGGTGTCAGTCGGCATTGATCCGACAATGATTGCTGCCTGCCGAAGTGTTTTGGCTGTATGCGCCCGAAACAGTGTATTGTATTACACTGTTGAGGGGAATGAGGCAACGCTAATCAACACCGTCGAGTACCCATCCACTGTCACTGCTTTGAAGGTGTCCTCCAGTCATGCTGCTGTATTGTACGACGGGAAGATTCAACTCCACGAGATTCGTGCCGGTGGAAATTCTGTTACACTTCCCGAAAGCGGAAGTGCAAACATTATCTCTTTGGGTATGAGCGAAGCCCTCCTCATCTACGCTACATTGGAGAAGGTATGCATTGTGAATCTTGCGGACTACCAGTGCGTGGTTGAACATGTGCCGCCAGCAGGAGTGAAGAAGGCATTCCCAAATCCAAGTTGTACGCGAGTAGCGCTCATCAGCAAGAACGATGCGCTCTACATATTTAATCCCGTTACACTCGTATTGACACAGACAGAAGGGTATGAGGTGGATCACAAGAATATTCTCTGGGACCAAGGTGATTACGGTGTTTTAGTGTCTTACAATAGTCGGACGATGGTGACATACGTTTACTCGTCGCATAGTCGTTACGGTCCCACTTCCGAGTCTATTGTGATCAAGGAAACCAACACGGACAACCTGTTCACCCCGGTCCCAGGGGGAAGTGTCCCTGTCTGCGTCTTTAAAGGCGTTGTGACATTTCAGACGTCGAGCGGCTCGTTGGATAGTATTACTCTCAAGTCTCACAATCAAGCAACGGCACGGAGCCCAAACCCTGAGGCTTTTTACAGTAACTTCTCGCTAAATCACCTGCGCTGGGCGTCGCAGAACATATCAACTCCACAGGAGGCAGAGGACCTGGCTGTCAAGGCATTGCATATGCTGGACATCGAGCTCGCCATTCGTCTTTATCGCCAGTTATCACAACCAAGTCTGGTGATGTGCCTTGAGAACATCAGGCACCTTAACGAGAAGAACCTCCTCATTGGCCACATTTCCATGATTATGGGTTTCTTTAAGGATGCGCAGACATTCTATCTCCGCTCATCACAGCCACTTTGCGCGCTGCAAATGCGTCATAATTTAATGCAATGGGAACCCGCGCTTTCGCTTGCAAAGCAGATGGCTCCAGAGAAGGTGCCTCTCCTATCAAAGGAATACGCCCAGCAGTTGGAGTACCGTGGGGAGTACGCCAAGGCATTGGAGATGTACAGAGCGGGTGAGCGAACAATGCCGAAGGGCCACGCCAGCACGGAGCTCTCCGCAGCTCAAGGAGAAGTAAAGAACCACAATGCGGTCTGCTTGCAAGGGGCAGCACGGTGTTTGATTCGTACTGGAAGCATCAGAGAAGGTGTAAAGTTGGCGTTGGATTCGAACGATCGGACCCTCATGATAGAAGGTGCGGAAATACTAGAGTCTATTAAACAGTACGAAGAAGCAGCACATCTGTACGAGAAGGCATCGGATTTTGAGCGCGCAGCAAAGATATACATTGTAGAAGCAAGAAACTTGAAGGCTGCGAGCCGCGTTATCCCTAAGATTACGTCCCGTAACATCATTGGCATGTTCGCCAAGGGGAAGGAAAACGAGGGTGCCTTTAAGGAGGCTGAGAAGGCGTACACCCAGGCAGAGGACTGGGACAACGTGGTCCGTATCAAGGTAGAGAAACTGAATGATTTACACGGGGCGTACATGATAGTACGCCAGACGCGATCGGCTGCAGCTGCGGCCGTTGTTGCTAACATGTGCAAAAAGAGGAATGAGTTTGGCTCTGCCGTAGAGTTTTTCGTTTTGGCAAAAAGTTTTCAGGACGCGTTTGAATTGGCGAAGGAGAATAACTGCATGTCAACTCTTGAAAGTGCATTGCTGAGCCAGATTCAACTCACGGACGGCGTGGCACCCGCTGCTAACCAGACGGAATTTGCAATGATTGCGCATTACTACGAGCAGAGCAACAAGCCAGGCCAGGCGGGGCTGTTCTATCACATCGCGGGAGACTTTCCCTTAGCTCTGAAGAACTACCTGGAGGCTGGTGAACCCGAAGACATTGAGAAGGCGATTCAGGTCGTGGGTAAATCGCGGAGTGATACACTGACTAACAGGCTCATTGATTACCTAATGGGTGACACAGATGGCGAGCCGAAGGAGCCGTCCTACATCTTCAAGCTCTACATGGCATTGGGCAGCTTTGAAAAGGCTGCGAAAACTTCGGTTTTGATTGCCACCAAGGAGCAGGAGATGGGAAGCTATCTCGCAGCACACAAAACACTTGTGGAGGCATGCTGTATCCTCAGGGAAAGGAAAATGCGTGTGCCCAATGACTTACGCCGTTCCTTGATGCTCTTGCACTCATATGTAATTGTCAAGCACCTCATCAAACCAATGGGGGATGATGAAACCGCCTCACGCATGCTCTTGCGAGTGGTGCGGAATATTCAAAAGTTCCCGCAGCACATTGCACTCATCTACACTTCGAGTGCGCTGCAGTGCCTGAAGAGTGGTTTCAAAAAGTCTGCGTTTGACAACGCCTGCATCATCATTCAGAACGAGAAGTATCGTGCCGAGTTAAATGAGAAGAACCGGAAGAAAATTGAAGGTATCGTGCGTCGGCGCGGAAAGGAGGACATGGAGGATCCACCTGAAAAGACGTCCCCCTGCCCATTTTGTGATACCCAGGTGCCGGAGACGGAACTGGACTGTGGCGCCTGCAAGAACACACTACCGTTTTGCATTGTGACAGGCAAGCACATGGTTAAGGATAACTACTCCGAGTGCCCCACCTGCCAGTTCCCCGCCCTGTACTCCTCCTTCATCACTTTTTTGCGGCACTCGCAGGTATGCCCCATGTGCGAGAGCGTCGTGGACCTGAACAAGGTGAAGAAGCAAACAGACCCGGACTTGAAGGCCTCTCTCACCTAAAGGGCGTGTCATGGCGGAAGATGTTGAAGATGAAGTACGAAAGAAGGAATATGAAATGTGGGGTGACGGACTCGCAATAGCCATCATATAGAGCAACTGAATGTAGAAGTGAAACTGGATACCGGCAAAATCTCCAATTTTACCACAACGAAGTGTGCATTGGGTCTGTCTATCTCTCTCTCTCTCTCTCCTTTCTCTCTCTCCGTTCGAAGATGCTGAGATTTCGTCCCCTTCCTCTCGGGGTTTTTGATGGACTGCCCCGTGTTACTCAACAAGTTTGGAGTGCCTAACAACTTACTGGTGATGCGCTTTTTCTTTTAGTCTTTTCCTCCCTCCCTACTTTCACAGTGCTAATAGTGGGAGCAGTAAAAAGAAAAAAAAATAAGAAAGATAAAAATCACAACGTACGTCATACAAGTAACAGAAGCAATTACTTGGGATCAACGACCGCAATGCCAAAGGAATGGTTTCCGCTTGAGAGCAATCCTGATGTGTTGAATGGGTACCTAAAGAAGTTTGGGCTGCTGAACCCCAAAGTTCAGTTCTGCGATGTTTTCAGTCTTGAGTCTGAGCTGTTCGCCATGGTGCCGCGACCGATTCGGGCCATGATTCTGTTGCACCCTATTACTCGTGAAGGGGAATTGTATGACAAGATGCTTGCCATGAATCAGACAACTGAGGCAAAGGAGTTCATGGAGAAGAATGAGTTCTTCTTCTCTAAGCAGACTATTGGAAATGCGTGTGGAACTATGGCCATTCTTCATGCTCTACTGAACAATCTTGATTACTTGGGGGAAGTTGAAAAGGACAGTCCCTTTGAAATCTTACTTAACCGCTTCAAGGATGCTGAAGGACAGAAGACGACTACTGAAAGACGGGAGACGACTCCTGAAAGACTGGCAAAACTGATTGAGTCTGATGATTTGCTCGATCGGGTGCATAGAATGGCATCAACTGAGGGTGTTACAGAGAACCAGTCAATCGATGCAGACATTGATCTTCATTTTGTCTGCTTTGTGCGTGTGAACGGCCGGTGTGTGGAATTGGATGGGCGCAAGCCCTTTCCGCTTCTCCATGGTGCTTGCACAGATGATGAAAGTTTTGCCAATGCGGCTGCGGAAGCCATCAGACTAAAGATGAAGCAAGACCCGGAATCACTTCGCTTTAACATTATTGCTCTCAGTGAAATCAGAAATTGAACTGCCTCTTCTGGGGGGACTGCCAAGCACGTTGTTTCCGAAAATATCAATAATGTTTTTAAATTGGGGTGTAGGTGGGAGTGCTTGTTAGCAGAGTGATCTTGTAGAAAGAAAGTGTGTCCAATTTTTGTCTAACTGAGTTCTTGGGGTCAGTGGGTTTCTCCCGTTGCTGTTCGGTCTGGTTCAAAGCCTTCGAGTAGGTCATGGAGGAAATGGTTTTTTTTCGAAGTACTGCTTCATCCGCCCCTTGTAACTTTCCCCCCGCTGCGGGGGGTCTCTGCAGGGGGGTGGAACTCTAAAATTGTCCTTTCACAAGCGGCATGTTGACTTGAGAAGGAAATGATTCTGTGATGGGATCGCCCAATTAAGTGGATCTGGCAGTTCAGGAGGAGAGTGAACGTGCTCCGTGACCTGCTGTTATTCTGCTTTTTTTTTGTCCAACAGGGGCTTCGGAAGAAAAAAGGACGCGTCGGCACAACGCCAACGGAAAATCATTCTTTTTTTTTCGTAATAGCTTCCCTCCACACAATGATTCGCCATTTCTATGCTTCTACCTTTTTTTTGCCTCTGATTCTCTCTCTCTCTCTCCCTCTCTTCTGTGAATATTTTTTGCTTTCTGCAGACACATGAGACGATTTTACAGATTAACATGTGACTCGCTGTTGAGGCGTGTGGCTTTGCGCGGTCTGACGAATGCATCATCGAAGACGCCTCCTCCGCCAGGAATGATTTCTGCGACTTCCACGCAGGCTTTCCCATCCGCCACTCTGGCTGAAGCGGGCGAATCGGGGAAGACTGTATTGATTTCAGATGTATCCGCTGATCTTCAGTTTCTGCAAAAGCGATGGGAGAGGGAATTTCGTGTGTGCATCTACAGTGGCCCGACAGCCGTCATCGAGGTAGGGACAGCTGATACACAAACCTGGACGCCTTTAGTCACTGTAGATGCAGCTAGACTGCCGTGGGACCTCGTAAGAACGGTGGAAAATACCTTGGCACCTTCTCCCAATTCTGCTACTGCTGCTGCTGTTGCTAATGACAATGTCGGGGGGCAAGGCTTGACTGTCGTGGACCTGCGTGATCGAGCCGAAGACACCGCTGTGGCACAGCAAATAGTGGCAGAGCGATATCCAAGACTGCGGCTGCATGTGGACCATTCCAAAGGAACGGACCTTCAGGGAACGGTGACACACACGGTTTCGGTGGCACTCCAACATCGTGACGCAGACGAAAATCTCTCTGAAGAAGAGAGAAAGGCGAAGGAGTCCTTCTTTGGAGAGTCTATTGGTTCTAGTTTCAGTTGCACAGCGCGGCGGGCACTTCGTGAGGCGTTTGACGCGACTGGCTTGCCGCCCCCTCCGCGGCAATTGGAGCGCGACCGAGTGAGCAGCGAGATGGAGACCTTCTTGGATGTAGTTAGGAACGCTACAAGCGAGGAAGTCGGCGTCATTCCACTCTTGCTCGAGGATGATCAAGTGAGGGTAGCTGTGCAGTCAGGTAACGGGCGCCAGATAAGCGCATTGCATGGACGGCGTGAGGATGCCTTGTCGATTCTTCTCGCATGTGTGGAGAGGGCGGCGGAGAATGTGAACAGTATCGCCACCGAGGAGGCACGAAAGCGCATAGCGGACCATCCAGTTGTCCTGGCCCTGCCGCTTAAAGGGCTTCGCCCCAAGGAGATTCTGCGCCGATTGCTGCTTCACAAATACGGGCTGACAGAGAAGCGGGTCCGCATCGTGACTTCGCAGCTGAGCGGCGGTACGTTCACCACAACCGTTGATGCGGAGCTGCAGTGGTCCGAGCAGCTGTGCGCTGGGCCGAGCGTTGCCGTCACACTCGCAAGGTCGGCAGGTATGAGCAAAAAGGCCGCAGAGGAGCTTGCCTGCATAACGGCAGTGCAGCGCTGCTTCCCACGCATTTTTGAAGAGCAGCTCTCTTACCACACAGAGGTGCGGGAAGTTATGAATTCTAAAAGAGCTACAAACCGGGATTCCATTTGCCCTCACGTGTCGAAGGGTCTGCTGGTACAGCTGCGGTGGGCTGCTCAGTGCCAAGGGAAGCAGGTCCTTCTCGATGCCCTGCAGTTGCTCCCGAACTCTGAAAACGAGGCTCTTGGGATACGAACGACGAGAGCGCTCTGGGCGACGCAGCTCTTTCTTGTGGATGAGAAGGGCGCCCGTGAGTTTATCTGCATGGCGCTGGACCCGAAGAAATCTAGGAGTGAGCAGAAGGCGGTCGCCGCAACTCTTTGGAAATGCTATAAAGAACAGTGTGCCGACGGCATAGACTACGCGATGGACAATGGGCTCATTGATAAGAACGGCGACGTTGCCTCCTGTGAGGGAATATCATCGTCGGAACCGCTGCCGAAGAGTACCTATGATCTGGCGGCTGAATTTGATCCGTTTATTCCAAATTTGCAACTACTACCGTCCCAGCCTATTTATGTTCCTTATCGGCAATCGCTACTGAGTCTGTTCCGTCGAGGCGCTCAGTTGTATGTGGAACTTTTAAATGAGAGATGCGTGAATGACGGAGACTGCATCTCGAATGACATCAACAACAGTACTACCAGACAGTTGGTTGAAAATACGGAGAGGATCACGGCAGACGGCTCATTCAGAACGCAGCTGGTCATCAAAACAAGAACAGGGGATGGTGGTAGCGATGAAGAGGCGCTACTGGGGGAGGCGGCCCATTCATCGACAGCCATTGCTTCCATATTCGGTGCCTTGAAGAGTCTGTTTGAGGAAGGGGGTGTCATTGCAAATGCATCCAAGGGAGACCGTCAAGTACAAGAGATCTACAGGGATACGTGGGAACGTGTGACTGCCCTACCTCCGTTCCCAATGGAGCTATCTGCACCAACGCCATTGGAGACTACTGCTCAGTGCGTGATGATGAAATATGGTTTGCTTTCGGAGCTACACATTTCCGGTGGTGGCAAGATTGTCAATGTGCAGCTGTTGGGCCGGAGCCCTGCTTCGGTTGGTACTGACATGCTGCACACCCGACCACAATTTTTTCTGGGGCATGGTCGAGGGAGCTCTATTTTAAAAGCCGTTGTGTCGTGTTGCAGGCGCATCTTCAACACACACTTTCAACCTGAGATGGATGCTGTTGGTCGTGACGTCGCCATTTCGAGTGCTTTGAAATCCGGACAGGTGCAGGTGCTACTTCGTGGGACTTCCATTCTCGCGCAGCGGGCAGCAGATGTACTGAGAGAGCTCACGGAAAATAAGGCTGTGTCAGCGGCAGCGTCCATGTGCGTCAAGATGGACATTCGATTGCTATCATCGGAGGTGGTGTACGAGGGTCAACTGCATGTTGTGGATGGGACAAAGGTGGTTGAACTGGAGCGGACGCCTCCGCTACCAGATTTGATGATTTCCCTGCGTCATTTGACAGAGAGCGTCGCTCGTGAGGTGGGCGGCCCTCCTCTCGATGTTGATGCCATGAGGCGACAGTACACTGGGACACTTCAGTACAACAGCTTGGAACAGCTACTCCGCGTGCTATATGGCCTCCCACTTGTCGAAGAGACGGTGCTAAAGGATCAACACTGGCATTGCCACCTTAGCGTGCACCTCTTCGACGAATTCTATTGCTCTATCGGTCTCTCCGCCAGCACGAAGAAGAAGGATGCGGTGGAGACAGCAGCAGCGAGGGCAATGGAACACTGTTTCGGGTCGATCACAAAAGGCGTGGATCCACGGGTGCCACAGATCACAACGGGGACGATTTGCACAGAGAAATACATTGGGTTTGTTTACAGAAAATCAAATGACGCGAGCACACCCCGTCAGTAGGTGCTGCCTTGCGGCATTTTTCTGTGCATCACATACGAAGGAGACGAGGCTGTGTGAATCATGTTTACCTCTAACCCTCCCTCATTTTGTCGTCTTTCCCCCTTCCCTTCCCAATCTGAGTGTCTTGTTTTAAAATTATTCTTTTTTCCCCCTCTCTCTCACACACTAAACTATAAAATATATATATATATATATATATNTGTGTGTGTACTCATGCTTTGGAGGGAAAGGCCTTTTTATTGTGCAAGGTAGTCATGTTGCGGGCTTCTGCTGGCTCGATCAAGTTGACGAATCTGTACGGGGCGCCGACTGGCGACGCGTATCACACAAGCACCCCGTACGCTAACTTAATTGAGATCGATGGTGTGCGTATCCTTCTTGATTGCGGATGGAACGATGAGTTTGGCTCGAGCTACCTTAGTGCGCTGCTGCCACACTTGGAGGACGTCCACGCCGTTCTCTTCTCGACTCCTGAGCTCTGCTCGTGTGGGGCGCTCCCCTTCGTAATGGAGCATATCCGCCCCGGAACCCACGTCGCGGCTGCTGGTTCCACTGCAAAAATCGGGCTTCATGGCGTTCTGCACCCGTTCCTTTACCTCTTTCCCAACAGTCACACATGGCAGCTCGACTCCGGCGTGGAGTTCGAGATGACAGTTGACAAAATATACAGCGCCTTTCGGAGTGTGACAGAACCGTACGGGGGCAAAGTGACAGTTCGTCACCGGGATGTGGAGGTTGAATGTTACCCCATCTTTACTGGCAGAATGCTTGGTGGTCACGGGTGGCTCATAAAGTACCAGATTGATGAGCTTCTCTATTGCCCAGATTTTTCCTTGAAGCCCTCTTATGCATTAAAGCGATTTGTGCCACCAACGACGTCATCGCTCCTCTTTATTGATGCTTCGCCGCTACACTTGAGTGGCAACTCGGGACGGAAGTATGAAGATCAGTTGAACTCATTCATACGGGAGGTTTTAAGTACGCTCCGAAACGGGAAGGATGTGCTGATACCAGTATCCGTGGCGGGGAGGGGTCTTGAAGTGCTCACGATTGTTACGCATCTTCTAATGGAGAAGGGAGGCGATAACTATGCCGTGGTCCTTGCGTCGATGCAGGCTTCGGAATTGATAGGGAAAGCAAGCACCATGACTGAGGCCCTCCTTGACGAGATTATCCTCAGTGAACACCAGCTCTTCGGGAATGTGGTGACTTGCAAAACGGCGCAAGAGGTTATGAGTGTGGCAGGTCCAAAGGTATGCATAGCGGATGGTGAAACTCTTGATTACGGCGTGTCAGCTGAGCTTCTTGAATACTTTATGCGGAGTGGCGCTGATGAGCGTGAAAACCTAATTGTGTTGCCGACAACGCCGAAACAACAGACAAATGCCTTTCATTTGGCAGCTGCAGTCAAGGGGGATTATGTCAACTTGCGGTACACAATGCGTTTGCCACTCGGTAAGGAGGAGTTGGAGGAGTACTACCTCCAGCTAGAGGAGGAGCTAGAGGAGCAACGAAAGATTATGGAAGGTGGCGCATACGAGGTGGCCCCGCTTGACGAAGGCGCAAGCGATGATGATGATGATGATGATGATGATGACGCGGATGGGAAATCAGAGAAGCCCCTGGATAAGGTGCAGCAGTGCACGCCAGGGCTTGTTCTCCCCTCTTACATCAGCTTTATCTCAAAGCACCTTCAGTTTCCCATTCTCGAGACGTCCGCTTCGCTAAACAGTGCTCTGCTGAAGAAAATGGATTGCTCGTACGGTCTTCCCCTCAGCGACGAGTTGCAGGCCCTTATGCGTCGCAAAGCCCCTGCCCGTGTATACAGCGATGAAGGACCAGAAGGAATCCAGTTGCACAATGATGCTCAGGCAGAGGCAAACATCCCTTCTAAAATACAGATTATAACCGCTGCTGTGTGTAAAAACTCGCGCGTGTTGATGACAGACCTTTCAGGGTTTGCTGATGCCGTGACCATGCGGAGTTTGCTCAAATCTCGCTTTGGGTTCGCCAAGAAGATGGTTGTGATCCGTGGTACCATCGATGACCACCGCACACTGACTCAGTTCTGCCGCTCAGAGAAGGTAATGAAGTGCGGCGAAAATGTATTTCTCCCAAGGGCGCAGGGGACACACCTGGAGCTGGCTACCCACGTGTACTCGTACGTGGTGCAGCTGGATCCAACATTGGCCAACGCACTTCCATCCGCGTTGCGGCGGGTGAAGGAGTCGCGGTCGAGCGGCTCGTGGGATGTCGGTTGGGTGGACGGTGTACTGGTGAGCTCAGTTGCTTCTGCCAGACTCAATGATGACGAGGAACAGCCGGAAAAGCGACTGCGAACAGAAGATGCTGATGGTGGTGGCGGTGGTGGTGTCACACAGGACGGCATGTATACCCTCACTCCACTCTCAAGCGAGAATGCACAACTGTGTGCACAGGAACGTGAAACGCGGGGGCTGCAACGGGGACTGTTTTATGTTGGTGATGCGGATCTGCACAAGCTCCGTGATGCGGCGCGAAATGACAAGGGTCTTCGCGGCGAATTTCACAAGAGTGCCCCCATGCTTGTTTTTGACGCTGGTGTCTGCGTGCGAAAGAACGCCAATGGGAATGTGTCCTTGTCCTCGATGGTGTCACCCTCCGTCTTTGCACTTAGGAAGGCAGTCTACAACCAGTTTTCACAAATCCTCTAGCGACAGGTGTGGGGGCGCCTTTTTAGATATATACACATATATGTCTGTGGCCTTGTGTGGATGCATGTGTAGTGCTTCGTTCCCGTATTTAAATAAACAATTCTTGCGCCTGGCAGCGTTTTTCGTTGTAACAAATGACTCATGCTTTAATTTTAATCACCCTTTCTTTTTTTTGATCTCTTTTTTTGTTTATCTTCTCTCCTTTATTGCCTATCTATTTCCCCCATGACGCCTGACGGAGGAAACGTAGAGTACGAGGCGAATGTCAGATACAGATGTCCTTCTGCTCAACCTGGAAGTGGAGGCTGCTGCAGCGCGGAATGCGGACCTCTCCAGGCAACTAGAGCGTCTGACAGATGAGCTGGCGTGCTCCACGGTGCATCGTGTGGAACGGGCGGATGATGTTTCGAGAGGGACACAGACAGAATTTGACATCTCACGTGATGTTGCCCTCGACTTGGATGACCTCTTGTTTGAGATGGCTGAAGTGATGTTTCGTCTCTACCCCACAACACCCCTCGACCTGTCAAATCGCCGGGACGACAGCTCCAGGCGTGTAGAGGAGTTGTCGCAGCGATGTCTACGCGAGATGCGTTCACTGAAGATAGCGTGGGAGACGAAGCTTGAAGGGTACAATAAGTTCATAGAGGACCTCCAGAAGGGGCTTGGCGAGTACTACCGATCCCTAGAAGAGGTGCAGTGCCAGCTGCGCAATAAGGAAGCGCAGTGCAATACCCTCACCAGAGACAATGCGGAGCTCTCAGAACACTGCGCTGAGCTTGAAGAACGGCTGAGACTTGTCCAGGAAGCTGCGGGAAACGCTGGCGAGGATGTGACCCAATTGATGAGGCAGGTGACGGATCTTGAGACCGAAAGACAGCGACTTCTTGACCGTGAGACAGTGTTGTTGAACACTGTAGCCTCTTTGAGGGCGGAGTGCGCTCTTGGTCCGTGGAAGAACACGGGATTTGTCAAGGAGAGGACGTCCTTTGTTCAGCCAAGTAGTCATTCACAGGTTCCAGTAAGACATGGCGCATCTCAGGAAAATGACACCAGAGGTAGGACGGGGCGTGACGCCTCTGTTGGTGATGTTATGTTTGCATGCCAGGGGTCCGCCGTCAACAGAGCTTTCCCCGAGTGGTGCGTCTCTCCTGAAAAAGTTATTGATTATTGTTGTAGGATGAACAACTCAACGTGAAACAGAGGAAACGACGACATGCCGTCAGAGTAGGTGTCCCTGCTTTATATCAACACGTGTTGCTTGAATTCCTTTTTCTTCCCGATTATGCTTCTGGTGGCATTTTTTTTTGCCATTTTAAAACTATTTTCCTTCAATTCTGACCCGGTTTTTTTTTTTTTCGGGGGTTAGGCAACAGGCTGGGCGCATGGAGGCTGGCACCGACAGCCAGGTGCAGTGGAGCAATCTTCTTGAGGCTGGCGATGCTGCCACACTGTTTGCCATATTTCGGGAGACAGTTAGTTCCGCTCTTCCTGGCTCCTCTGAGACCAAGTCTATACTGCAATTTATGGAGTCACATCTCTACGTGGCTGCGCTAAAGGTTGATCTGGAAGCGTTGTGTACCACAACTTCAATGGGGTTCTTGGAATCCGTTCTGAACGAAACTCGTCCATCTAGACTTGATCCACGTGAGTGTCTAACCGAGCTGTTGTCCGCGACATGGCTCGGTGACGGGTATGGTGTTGCTGTTTACCTCCGTCTTTTGCAAGCAACGTTCCGCCAGATATTTTTTGACACGCTTCGACGAAGGAAGGAGTGCACCACGGTGGTGGAGCGGCGTCTAAAAGCACGGACAACAATGCGTGCGTGGTATGGTGGTGTGGATAGCCGTGTCTCTCAGATCATCCTAAGACTTTGTAAGCGAGATGCACTTCCGAAGATGGTTCAAACGGTGAAGAGGTTTCAGACAGATGGATGTGGCAGTGACGATGACGAGGAACAAGATGATAATTCAACGGACACACTGCCTCTCGTTGAGCCAACTACACTTGAGGCCTTACTGCAATTGGTGTTGGACCTCTCGACTGTGGTCGGGGATTCCCGAAGGACAGTGCCGCTACTGTTGATGGTGAAGGCAGTAACCGTCGCGGCGCAGTCGTACAGTGATGATGATGAGTTTCTGCATAAAAATGGAAACGAGTGGCAAAAGTGGGCTGCCACTTTGTGTCGAGTGGGTGACATGAAAACGGGGACAAGTACACCAACACATGACATGGAGTATTCTCCTGCTCTGGCATCACGGGGGAACTTCAGGGAAACAGGGGAGAGAGCCACACGGGCGCTACTAGACATGATTCCGGCCTGTGGTCTTGTGGCGTTCCTTCTGGAGTGCTCGGACGGTAGATTTGGCAAAGATATAATGGATAGCGTCGCGTACGAGGACAACGAGCGCGGGCGGGATGCGAGTAGCACCAAGGTGTTGGCGAGAATACAGGCCCTAAAAAAAGAAGAAGACGAACTTTGTGTCTTATCAGATGGGGACTGGGTCAGTGAGGAGGATGAACATTACGTGGGGCATTTCTCCCTACGCATGGTCGGCGCTATGTTGTTGCTATGCGATCTGATGATGCAAGACTGCTGTGAATGCCGCTCACTTCTTTCCAACTCCCCATCAGTTTTATTCTTCCTCTTGGGGCCCATGCTCTTGGAGAGCTTGAAGAGTTCTTCCTTGAGTGTGGCAATGACTGGCTTGGCCTTGCTAGCCGTGGTGCTTCCTCATGTGCCTCCCTATAGTATCCATGCCTATGGTGAGTTGAACGAAGAGTCCACACAGGCACAGGGGTTGGAGGAGGATGCTCCTTCTCTAGACTCATGTAGCTATCACACGAGAAAATTTGGGCTGGTGTTTGAACTGGTAAAGTCTCTGATGAATATTTCAGCAACTTGTCCCAGCGAAGCCCATCGCGTGGTAGCTCGTGCGGTCTTTACTCTTTTTCTTCGACGCTGCGCTGGTGATTTGCGTATGGTTGTGTACTCTTCATTTCTTGTTGTGACGCCATTTGCTTCTATCTGCTCGCTGATGCTGCATTCATTGCGTGAGGAGTGGAACAGCTGTCAGTCCTTGTGCAATCCATCAGAGTATCGTTTTCTTAGAAGGACCCTTCCGCGTTGCCTGCTGCGAACACAGGAAAACTGGATGAAGAGACTGCTCACGGGTGAAACGGGATTCATAGATCCTTTGGTGCAATCGCTTAATTTTGTCCGTTCACTTATCGCCGAGGATTATCGGCGGCAACCGAAGGATGCGTTGTTTCAATTCGCTAGCGGAGACCCAAGGGCCCAGCTCCGCAAGGAGACGGGGAAGGGGGAATCATGCGACAGATGGGATACATACCTCTCTCGTCTTATGAGGGATGTTGTGCCGCAGCTGCGTGCCTTGGTAGTGGCGGCAGAAGCGGCAGTCTCCTCGTCGACGGTGGAGGAAAAGGGGGCGAAGGAGCCGTTGGGGGCGTTGCGCACCGCGACGCTCTCACCGCTTGACTGCTTTGCGCTCACCATGGCCCTGGAAGGCTTGGAGGGGCAAGTGGTGTGTGGCGGTTGAGGGGAGTTCATTTTCTCTGCCACCCGATTGACTTCTAATTATCTTCTTGTTGAACTGAAGAATAGAGTGGCTAGGGTGTAGCTTCTGTTCGTATTGCTTCTTGTTCTTCCTTTGTTTTTCTTTCATTTTTCTTTATTTTTCGGTTTTGCTTTTTTTGATTGGCGTAGGCGTCTGCCTCACATGATCCATTCGGAAATCGTTGGGAACGAGGAGGTGGCGTCGACTGCCGACTGCCCTCGAGTCACTCCCGTGCAGGAGAGAAGGAGCGGCGCCTACTTGACGAAGTATGAGATAGCGCGCATTCTTGGGGAAAGGGCACGACAAATTGTGAATGGCACCTCCATGCTTCTGCACAGCAGAAGTAATGCGACTGAGCGAAGCGCTCTAGAGTTGGCGGAGCGCTGTGCCGACCCTTACTCCCTCTCGGTGGACCCTGTCTTCATTGCAAAGGTTGATTTGCTGCAGGGGAGAATACCAATGATTGTTCGCCGGACGTGGCCCGATGGATGGACGGAGAATATCCCTGTTTCTGAGTTGCTGGTTGATAAGGCCATGCTTAACATGCAGAATTAAGTGTCACGTGCTCTACTGTTTTTTTTT